ATGTTCCCATTATACTTAATATATTGTTTTGTTTTTTATGTACTTGTTGATATGTGCCCCCATCCCATCCATAAATTTGAGAGCAGTCTAATGTCTTCGTTATCTCTGAATTCTTCTGTAGCTTTTTTGTATATATTAAACACAATGTTTACAAACCAAATTTAAAAATTGCTAGCCAAAATACCCTCACAGATGAACCAATTTAAGGACCAGAACTGAAAATTCTACCTGTTCCAACTCCTGTACTACCGCGACATGTGCATAAACACAAAAACACACTCTTTCCTAACACTAAGAGGTATAAAAATATTGTGGGGATGCCTGGGTGGCTCAGTTCGTTGAGCGTCTGCCTTCGGCTCAGGTCATGGTCCCAGGGTCCTGCGATCGAGCCCCGCATCAGGCTCCCCACTCCTCAGGAAGCCTGCTTCACCCTCTCCCACTCCCCCTGCTTGTGTTCCCTCTCTCGCTGTGTCTCTCTGTCAAATAAATAAAGAAAACTTTAAAAAAATATATTGTGAAGTATAATAAATACGGCGGGTTTTTACTGACATGTCAATCAACCAATATATAACTATCTGTAGATTTAAAAAGTACAATGAAAAGGAGTTAAAGCCAAACCTGCCACATCGAGTCTAACTTCATTTCTAAATGCTAAAATTAAATATAACTCAGTTGCTTCCTCCACAGCTAAAATAACCAGTTTCTTTACTTCAGAAACTAGGAACAAAGCGGTCCTGTCCTTAAAAAGATAAGAAATGCTAAGGTTCAAATCAAAATTTTTATGCTGATACTGAAAACAGTGAAACTGTGGTAGAGGGAACATGGTATGGGCAAAAGGAAATCTACTAATTTCCAGGCTGCTATTTTCTAATCATGTGACCTATAAATTGTTACAATTTCTTAGAAAGTTTTTAAGCTGGAATGAGGATATGATTTCATGGAAATGTTGTGAGGAATAAATACCACATACTACATGTTTAAAGTTGTTTTCAATCTTAGGATAGAAAAATGAAAAGCAAAATGAGGTCTAATAAAAAGAGCTATCTATTTCCTCTTACACCAACCAGTTCATAAAAAGAATATTTATAATTTTTATTTTCCTGCATGGCTCCAATGTCTGTGTATTTTAGGCTAGAGGATAAAAGCTAATTGGAAAATTATAGGCAAGTAACTTCTCTCTAAAGCTGTATGTACAAAAACATTTTGGGCTATTGTGAAATCTAAGAGAATCTCTAGAGTTCTCATTTTAATACTACCCACAAAGACCTCTGTGAACTTCCTGATGGGTACAACCAACCCACCCTGTATGTCCTTTAATGCAACTTTGTAAATTTCAGGGTATCTTAACCTTAGCATATACCCACAACATCTCTACTATTTCTGAAGAATTCTTTTGTGCTTTTTTAAAAAAAAATACTTAATACTTTTATTTAACTGTTGTGCCACTTGGAAAAATCAAATAGTTACAATCCATTTAAATGGTTTAAATTCCTCATTTACTCCCAAGAAATTTTTGCCATCAACCAACCAGGCTCCATTCAAATATGGATATGTTATTATTGGCCTCTAGTAGAAACATTAACTAAATAAGTGGTCCAGGTACTCTTTATCAAAATAATAATGCACTAAATAATATTCAAATGGCTTAAAGATTTAATAGATCTTAAAAATGATTTTACTTAGGGCGCCTGGGTGGCTCAGTTGGTTAAACGACTGCCTTCGGCTCAGGTCATGATCCTGGAGTCCTTGGATCGAGTCCCACATCGGGCTCCCTGCTCAGCAAGGAGCCTGCTTCTCCCTCTGGCCCTCCCCCCTCTCATGTACTCTCTCTCTCTCATTCTCGCTCTCTCAAATAAATAAATAAATCTTTAAAAAAAAATGATTTTACTTAGAGATTAAAAAATGTTAACTATATCTCATCAAAAATGCTATGAATAAAATTTGAAAATCATTACTTCAGAGATATTTAATCCAGTGTCTGATCATCTAATAAAAATACTTATTTACCAACATTACAAATACTGCACTATTCTAGGCACTGAGGATACAGTGAACAAGAAACAAGGTCCCCGTCATGATGAAACTTACACTTCAAAGAGAAAAGATAGAAAATGAACAACAAACAAGATAATTTTGTGCTGAAGAAGTGCCAGGAAGGACATAGGGAGAGATGACTGGGATGCGGTGGGAAGTTTTGAAAACAGTGGTCAAAGAAGTCCCCGTGAGATGACATGGGAATTGAGATCTGAAGGATGAGAAGAGCCAACTACACAAAGAATTGAGAAAGGGCATCCTGAGCAGAGGGAGGAGCAAACACAAGACCTTGAGGTGGGAATGAGCTTGGTATTTTTAAGGAACAGAAAGGAAGCCAATGTGCCACAAGTATAATGGACATAAGTGACAGTGGTTCAAGATGGAGTATGAAAGGGGGATGGGGGCATGGGATCACAGGTACCTGCTCTTTGGAGTGCCTTTCTATTTGCTAGATGGGACGCCACCCAATTCAAGAATCACTGAACAAAGCCAACTGAATCTTTAAAATCACTCAGCTGAATTTTGTTTTTTAACAAAACTAACAACAGTTGCACTTTTACTTCTGTTAGTCCTAACAGAGGAAGTAAAGGGAAGACACCCAGTTTCACTTCTTATAAATTGAAGATACTAAACAGAAAATACAGGACCATAAATTAAGCTCTTCTGTGAACCCGTTACAAATACTTCCAAGAAAAAAAAATAAAATGCATTTTCCCTCCTCAAATCGACTCCTTTTTTACTGTCTACCCAATCTGCTCTTCAAGCACAGAACCCTAGAATCCTTCTTGTCTCTCTCCCTTTCCTACCACCACCCGTTCGGTATCTGGCACATAGGAACCATTTAGTAAATATGAAGGAATAAATTAATATAGTCTATTTGTCATACTGCCAAAAACACCTCTCATATAACCCCTCCCTGACCCACTAGCAGACCTGGTGCAAGTCCACATCATCTATTTTTTTTTTTT